TACCTACAACCACAAAAATAGAGCAAATAAAGGGGAAAAGACTAGAAAAACCATGGAAATGCACAAAAGCTACAAAATAAGAGAGGAAAGGTAAGACTAAGACTAAAACCATAAAACTAAGCATTTATTAAGCATGAAAGCCATGAAAAGAAGGTAAAAACAACCTAAATGCTCATCAAATGGGTGCCATTTATGACACCCATCATGTATACAGATCAATATCTCTAATATCAACATTGTAAAATTATTATAAAAACAAATATTAATAAAATATACATCAAAACGGTTTAAAGATCCGAAATGACTATATTTTATTGTATCTATAAATCATAAAAGCAACTCAAAGTGTATTGTATGAATAGTGTAATAGTCAAACGGTGTCAACTTAAAAAAAACGAAGGAAGTATTTAGCAATAATTCCCCTAACCCAGTTTAGCAAACTCACACATCACAAAATCAATATAGAGTGCTCAAATATAAATTCATGTTATTAAACCAACTACGACTATGACTATTGACTATTATACTTTCATTGTGTCAGTTGTATGTACCATTTCGAGTTTCACATTTGTCATGCATAATTGCATATGTGTGACAATAAATATTGAGACATTGAGCTAATATGTTTCATTGTGAGTTCCCTATATAAAATATGATATGAATGTTAAACAACTTGTATGAAATTTTTCAAATTTATCTAAAATATCGAAAATATTTTATCTAATTTTAAAATTAAAGTTGAGATGTTTAAAAATCTGAATAGTAATTTTATATTATCCGACAAATTATTTATATTCATCTCATGGTTTATCTGACTTACACAATAGCTTATCTAAATTTGATCATTAATGTTTTTATATATAAGAATAATTTTTAAAAATGTGCAGGTTGAAAATGTACATTCAAAAAACCATTAACTTATTTCATACAGTGATAGTTTTAGCTCCTTATATATCTATACCAAATGTACAGTGCATATGTTACATCACGGAGAGAAATAAGATTGAAAAAATCGCGTCATTTGGGTTTATTGGACGTGACTCTCTAATTAATTTGATCTTGATTCATGAATACCTTCTATAATATTGTATGTTAATTTGATCGTGATTAATGAATATCTTCTATAATCTTTTATGTCTGAAAATGATTAGGTTTCAAATTAATTTTATTAATGCATAATTGAATAGTCTATATGTGACTAATACATTTGTAATAATTCCTCTTTTACTTGAAACTCACCATTTAAACACATAATTTAAGAAAGAAATTTGAAATCATAAAACAAACATATTATTTGAATAAAATTTTCCATCAATTAAAGAAAGGTGAAATTGGCCTCAATAGCACCAACTATGAATTGGGTGCAAAGAATAGCACAACCTTTACCGGGTGCACTTATAGCACAATGTATTAACTTCATGCAAAAAAAAGACATAAAAGCCATCAGAGACTAGAGATTCTACCGGAAAAGTATAATTTTATTATTTAATATTTTTTAAATAAACTGCATATTTGTTCACTATCTTAAATTCTCAATTGACTGTAATATTTATTCGATTAAGTTCTAATCCACCTAAAACTACATTTACTGTTATATTTAATTCCTACTTCTTTCACCATTTTAATTAGCTCAATGTAAATCATGTAATCACTATTAACTTATCCTAATATTGTGTAGAACCACCAACATACTCCCAATAATCAAACCAATTGATGTTCAAAATCGAAATCTAGATACACAAATTCTGAAAATTCATTTAAACAAAATTTTCAACAAATAAATTTAACACCAACTAATACCCTAATTTTATTAAATAATGAGAAAAAAAAAATAATAACCAACTCCATATATTTAGAGATAGAAATTGGGTTCAAAATTACCAAAGTACAAAAGTCTTGTGCTGACCCAATTGCCTAGAATTTAAGGATTCGTCTTCTTCTGGTCTACCATGGTGTTATGATGGATTTTTTTTTTGTGTTGTAAATAGATAATAAAGTACGTAGTAATAATTTTAATAATTCCGTCAAAAAAAAATTAATAATTCAGGTGAATTATAATAAAAAAGGTCTCCTTGGTACCGTAAAGTAGTATCTACTGTATTATTCCTCAAAAAATAATAAAAAAAAGTTGTATATACTGTAGGTGAGAAGTAATTATTATTGGTGAGGGAAAATAAAATAAAAAAGGTGAAAAATGGTTTAAAATAATAAATTTATACTTTTCCAAGAAGAATCTCCAATATTCGGCGGCTTTTATGATATTTTTTGCACGAAAGTTAATTCTTTGTGCTATAAAGTGCACATGTTAAAGGTTGTGCTATTCTTTGCACCCAACTCATAGTTGGTGCTATTGAGGCCAATTTTGCCAAATAAAAAATATGTTACATATTATACAATTAACTTCATAATTAAATAAAATATATAAAATGCAAGTATATTACATCAGTTTAGTGGTTTTCTTTTAATTATATAAAATTTGAAGAATTTATAAAAAGTACAGTAGAAAATTGAAACCCATTTCATCTTTAACATATAAATGTAGCGGAATATAGGAGGGAAAAAGGAAAACGAAAGAGACCAACCACCAATTTTAATATTATTATTATTATTATTATTATTATTTTTATTATTATTATTATTACAAAAAACCTACAAAGTCAATCAATTTATAAGAAATTGGTGGGGAGCCGAGATACAATCTGGACCCCCACCCCTCTAGCTATAACTAACCTGATCCTACTGAAAATGTGACCAGCTGCACGAGCACCAATATCCTGAGTCTTAGCAAATGCCTGAACCCGCTTCAGCAACGCAACAACATCCTTCTCTAATTCCCCCAACGAAAAAAAGGAGAAAGGAACAAAACCATAGCCAAAAGCCCTGCAACGCGCCCCATACTTGTCCCGCTTCCGCTGAGCTGCCGCATACACAACACAACAAGGAACGAAGTCAAACAACCCTAATTGTGTCAAAGATGAAGACCCCGTCAAGTCAACACATACATCCAGACCTCTATCCCAGGAATAAAGCAACACATCTTCTGGACGAAGAGCTCCGTCGTTCCCTCTAGTCAACCCAACATTAACCCACGAGCACCAATATTATTATTATTATTATTATTATTATTATTATTATTATTATTATTATTATTATTATTATTATTATTATTATTATTATTATTATTATTATTATTATTATTATTATTACCTCTGTTGGAAATTTATAGTTAGTAAATTTTGTTACACAAGCTTTTAGGAAAATTAATCCACCTTTTCAAACATTAGCTTTATCTTAAAATGGAGAAATTAAATGATGATGTCATGATTTTGGAGGGAATTTTTTTTATAAGAACCTGACACATGACAGTAAATTACTTTATTATTAGTTATACAGATAGATTATTTAAGAGAAATAGTAGGGTTATTAATTGTTTATTGAAAAGAAATGAATATAAAATAATAATAATAATTTAGGCAAAAGCTAACGAATGCCCCATGGGCGTTGGATAAACTAGCTAAAAAGTTGAAAGATTAAATTAAAAAATTAACATTAATTACATCAATCGACGCGTGATTTTATCATGCTTTTCCAAATTAATACGAAGTACCAATTTAAGGAGTATTCTTTTTGGTGATAATTTCACAAGGGCGTTCGTTAGCAAGATAATAATAATAATAATAATAATAATAATAATAATAATAATAATAATAATAATAATAATAATAATAATAATAATAATAATAATAATAATAATAATAATAAAGTAGTGTGTTTTGGTGGAGAGTTGAGAGGAGAGAGATATAATATTATAATTTAGTTTTTGTCAAAATTAAAGTGTGACACTTAAAAACACACGGCCGCATTTATTAAATGTGATACTTAAATAAAACTAGTTGTCCTATCGCGCGCGATAGTCCAAAATGGTAAACATCTGGTGTTGATATTGTTGATCGTAAATCTAATTTCTTTTTGTATTTGTAGAAAATTAAGAATTTTAATTTTAAATTTAGTATTGTATTTAGTACTGTGTAATATTTGTTTCTCGACGGATGAAGAATGAGAGACCTTACTTTCACACACATGGGAAAATTAAGGTAAAATATTTTTAATTTATTTATAGTTGAAGCGAATTAATCTGTTTTTTTAGAAATTTATTATTATAGAAGTATAATTTAATTAGTTTATTTTCACCAAACCTTACGGCATCCAAGTTGTAGTAAGTGCGAAATTTTGACCCTTTTTTTAAATTGTTAGGTGTATTTAAAACATCGCTAGTGTTCTTTTATTGGATTACAAAATGAGAATAAACATTGTGGAAAAATGGCAAATTTGGGAATCCACTATTTCTTTTAAAGTTATTATTTATTTACAAGAATGTCATCAAAACTAAATGGCATAAAAAGAGGTGGAACAATAATATTAAGGCTCATGATTTTGAATATTATAGTTTGGGATAATGAAAAATTCTGACCTCAGAGGCAGCTTCAATTTAATAAAAGAACAAGCTTAGAAGCCGCTTTTATGGAAATTGAAAATTCATGCCTTAAAACAAGCTAAAAGCTAAATATTTCATGCTATTAAATTAAACTATACAAAAAAAAAAAGCTATGTACACCTCACCACTTAATTTTAATCAAAACACATAAACCACAACTATACTAATGAAAGTTAAGAAAGTAAAAAAAAAAAAAGTCAAGATTAATCAACAAATCTTGATGGCAGTTTTGTAATAACCAACAAAGAAGAATTTAAATTTGGTTATTCCACAATTCATTTTTGTCAATAAAGTCAAGAAAGTCTACAAAAAGATTTAAATTATTTAAAAATAATAAATTATCTTTTTAATTTTTTTTTAAAAAAAAAAGGCTTATGATTTTGGGCTTTCTTTTCAACTTCTTTTAACTTATTTTTAAAAAACCAAAAAAATGAGGCTTATGATTTTGGGCTTTTTTTTTTTTTTTTTTTTGGTGAAATCTTAGTTTGTTTTTTCCTTTAACTTTTTATCCTTTTTTTTTCTTAATTTAATTTTTAGATATTTCAGTTTAGCTTTTTTCTCATTCGTTTTTCCCAAATTTTAAGAAGTTAGAGGCAATTTGTCGAAATTGAACCTTTTAATTTCCACCATTTTCCTTTCTTCAAGCATAGTGTCCGGGAATTAATCTGTTTAAAGGTGCGATCTTTTCTTTCTTATTTAGCTTACTTAAATAGTTTGATTGTTTTTCTTTGTTTTGATTCTATTTTGTTTATTTATGTTAGTATAGGGTATTGTGATATTAAATTGGTAAAATTGGTTGTTTGTCGACAATAATTGCAGAAGGATGAAATATCATGTTTTACAAATCTAACACAATATTCGAGTGCTTCAGATTATAATTTGTATCAGTGGAATTGTGTTGTGTTACGATAGATTAAAAAATGGTTTTGAATAGCTTTGTAGTAGTTTAGTTAATAATATGTGTTTACTTTGTTTTGATTTTTTATAGTTGATTGATGTCATAAATTAAGGTTTTGATATCAACTTAGTTGAAGTAATTATTTGCCAACAAAATGAGTTATAAGCTGACTGTCATGGGATCTTTTTTCACCTGTTGAGCAGCGCAAATGTGGCAAAATTGATAGTAGGGGCTTAGGTGAAGATATTGACAACTTTGATAAGGATGTATTTAGATGACTTGTTTTTGTTCCTTTTTTTCTAAAAATTCTATAAATCGGAAAAAGCATAATTAAAGAGACAATTATAGAAGGGTTTGAAAATTTTAAAAGGTCACAAAATAGATCCTGTAATTATCATTTGAGATTAAGCTATTTTGATTGTTATTCTTTCTCAAATTAGTTGGAGTGTTTATTCAATAGTTAAAAGGTTAGTGTTATAACAAGATACTCTTAATTTCTGTGTTGAGCAATAAAAATAAGGTCATTGTTCTAATAAGATACATTTTTTTGTTCTTTACTTGTTAATAATGTAAAAACTGTGAAAATACAATTGATTGGAATTGATGGCAATGAATTTTGATAATTGTAAGTCATAAGTTTTAAGATAAAGTACATGTGTTGATTCTATAAGTGATGATTGTAATGGTAAAGTTCAAGATATGCTAAGCTTATTAAACCTGAAAGTGACAATCTTTTTGAATGAGATGTGTCCTATTTACATTTTATAGATTAATGCATTGATTAGTTTCATGTCTACAAGAACTATGAGCTTTTACAGATTTATGCCAAGCCATTTGATTTTTTTTGAAGATGACTGTCGGCAAGAGCTGGTATGTAAACAAAAAATTATATATATTAATCTTATTTTCATTGTTATGAGACGGTGTACATGTTATACTATAAACTCAAAGTATAACAACAAGCAAATCATGTCTTTTCCTTTCTTTTTTAAAAAAAGGTGTGTGTGATTTCTTTTTCTGTTATGTTGCTGATGTTTGTTATGTGTTTTGTAGAAATTACCAGACAGTTGGACTGCTATGTTGGCTGGTGTGTCGAGTTCAGTGCAAGTGTTTCGCGGGAGTAAGAGGCGAGTGTGGAATGTCCAACTACTCAAAATCATAAAGGAAACCCAAGTATACATGTGCTTAGATTTTGGTGGAAAATATTTGTTGATGATAATCATATAAGTAGTGGTGAAAGTATCATGATTTACTATGGTGGAAACCAAAAGTTTCATGTACGGATATTCTCACCCTCAATGGTTGAAAGGTTTGGCTCTACCGAACCTCTGCATCATAGTGCATCAAGTCGTGGAATTGGAAATGTTGATTTTAGAGAATACTTGGGTATTGGAAATAAACCATGGTTTCCTCTAGTGATCAATTCGGAATGTTTTGCAAGAGATTACTTGGTTTGTATTTTTTTTATTGTGCCTTATTTATGATAAGCCAATGTCAAAACTTGCAATAGTGTTTTAATGAGTTCTTTCTTTCGATATGTGCATGATGTTCCTGAAACTTTTGGAAATCAGGTCTTTTCAAATGTAAACTTGCAAACACAAATTCAAGTTTGATATGGTGGCAAAACATGGAATGCTGATGTTCATATTTGCTACAAGGATAATGAAAATATCTATAGTAGAATAATGAATGGGATATCACAAGTGTTCTTAGATGGAAATTTAAAAGTTGGAAAAATTGGTGATGTATTTTTGCAGAACAATGATCCAGGTATCTTAGAAATAGTATTTCATTAGTATGTAATTGATTTATGTATTGTAATCGATTTTGATGGTGGATATTTATCAATTACTTGAATCGAGTTTTTTTTATTTTATCATTTGCTTTGGCTTATTTCCTAGTCTAAATAAGTTGGATTTATTTAAAACATTATATTAAACTATTATCATTCAATTAACATAACAAGTTCTATTAATTCTTTTAAAAAAATTTATGAAATTTGTTTTGATCTATATCGACTTAGTAATATGTACATTTGTTCGTTTAATGAAAATTTTAAATATAGTATGCTAAGTTGTTACCTTGTTCAATCAAACAGGATTAGATTTTTTCGGTTTTTATAAGTCGGACTTTAATTTAAACATTATATTGAATGATTCTCACTTAATTAACATAACAAGTCCTTAGAATTAACAAAAAAATCTTATGAAACTTGTTTTGCACTATATCCACTAGGTTTTTGGTACATCCGTTCGTTTAATCAATATTTCGGTAGGTTGTAATTCTGTATTATCAAACATGAATGAAGTTGACATAAGACTTTAATAAAGATTATAAAAAAAAAGACTTAAATAAAGTATGTGTAAAATTTATTGTAGTTCCTTTTTGAATCAAGTCTTTTCATTGAAAAAATGTTTATAATTAACTTAACCTTGGGAATATGTGTAATTAAAACACCTTGAAATTGTAGACATTTATATAGTGATGGATAGTCATAGAAGTATTACTTAGTTTATTCTGATATTTGAAGGTGTTTTTTTGCTTGCAAAGAGTTCTTTACGTACAAACTATTCCAAAGCCCTCTTTTTTTTATAAACAAAAAAAAATTCTCCAAAAATTCATATAAGGATGCGAAAGTCAAAAGAACTTGATGCTGCTATTGCCAAGTATGAAGATTTCTGCACTGTGCATAGCCGTGTCATGGAGGTCATCAAAGCCGGAGCGCAGTCACTAAAGATGGAGGTTATGAAAAAACCGTTGAAGTCTTTGCAATTCTGAAAAATTCGTCTGAAGGTGTGGAAGAAGCTGTTGCTCAAGCACCTTACGTGGTTCCTAAATTTGTGATTTTTTTAGATCGAGTAGAGAAAACAGCTGCTGAAGGTGCTACTCAACTTGAACAACTAAAAAAGGATAAAGAAAAAGAAATGAATGAATTGGATGAGGTTTTGAAGAAAAACAAGAAAAGGGCTAGGGAATGGGAATGGGAATGGGAATGGGAATGGGAAAGGTCTAGATAAATTAAGTTGTAAATCTTAGTTTTTTTGTCAATCAAATCAAATCGTAGATTAAAAATATTAAAATTATTGTTAGTTAATTATAATTAACTATTTTGTATCTTGATTGAGCATTAATTGTGATTTAATTTTAACTTTTGTGATTAATTATTAATTTCTATGATTTCCTACACCTTCTCAAGCTATTCTTTTTGGTTATATTTGCATATTAACATGATGTTCGTACAAGACATCGAAATTTTATTTTATATCGATTGTTATAAAAGTTGGCTTTACCGCGTAATTGTTTGATGATATTAAATTATAGTAAGGTACTAACCCCTTTTTATATTTTAATATTATTCCCATGTAGTATATGTAAGAAGCTTGTTAGAAGCTTTTAATAATTAGACAATTAGAATATTTTTGTTGTATTGGTACATGTAAGATTTGTGAATAGTTGCAAATATTTTCTTTTTGCAAAAGGGGGTTGGCAGAAAACATGAATAGACATGTATGTGAAGGAATTGCAATTGACGCTTATATAGCCCAAGTTATATTCATTTATTTTTATGTCTACAAATCATTTCTTTGTATACTTTTTCATATTGTCAGAAAAAAGTTTTATCTTTTCCAATAACTTGTTCTAAGCTTAGAAAATGGGTGAAAACAATGGAAAAGTTTCATTTTCACATGCATGTCGCTGCTTACCTGAAAAGAAGAAGGAAAATATTAAAGATCAACTCTGTGCAATCCTGAAATTTCGAGTGGATTTGATACGTAAAGTTGATGAGTTGCTAAATGAGTTTGTTGAGATAAACAAGCAGCTAGCGAATTGTAGTATTGATGATGATTTAGTTTCGGCAACTAAGTCAGGCTTAATTATGGGTGAATCATCTCAAATGCACGGTGGGACTGGTAATGGAAATTGTGTTGTGGTTGATGTTGTTAAGGCCGGAAAATCGGACATGTAGATAAGTGATGATGAGGAAGTGGTTAAAGAAGTTGTTCATGATGAAGCGGGGCAAAATCATGTCTCAGTGAATGAAGTATAAGAACCTTTTGTTGTCCCCATGCAAGAAGAAGAAGAAGAGCAAGAAATGGAAGAAGAAGAAGAAAAGAAGCAAGAAATGGAAGAAGAAGAAGAGGAAGAGGTGGAACATGACGATAATGATGATGAGGAGGGGGGTGAAGCTGATGGATATGGTTTTGAGGAGGAAGACAATAATGATGATGATCATGATGATGGAGGGCATCAGTCTTCTAGTTCTGATAGTGGAAATTACTTTAGTAGTGATGATGGAAATTATGATTCTGAGTCTTCGATTGATTCAGATGCTTATCGTCGCTCACCTAGAAATTTAGATGGTATCTGCTAGCTATGGAGCGTAGTCGGTGTAAGCTCTAGGTATATATGAAGCTTAATCAGTGCAGTATTTTGTCTATGGAATTTGCACATTGTAGGAAATTATGCATGAATTTAACTTAAGTTATTTTTTGAAGTATGCAAATTATGTATCCTTAAGTTTAATGATTGTAATATATTTATATATAAGTATTGATTGTTTGTTTGTTTCATGTTTTTTAGTATTGGTAGTGTTTGTATGGACTTAATTTTATTGGCAATAGCTATAAGTGTCAATGTATTAAACCTACAAGACAACAATAGTCTTGAAGATATTCATTTTGAACTATTTCATCTCACTATGTTGCTGTTATTAAAATTGTTAGTCATAATTGATAGTTATAACCTTAAAGATAAAGTTTTTGTGTTGATTTAATAACTAATGCTTGTAATGATAGGGTGCAAGATATGCTAGGTTCATCTAACTTAAATGTGGCTTATCAAACAGGTTGTCCACTTGTGTTTGAATTGTCAGAATGCTCAAATACTACTTCTAATAATCCAATAATAGATTTCCTACAAACTATTAATCTGTGGCTAGGGAAGTTATAAGCAACACTAACTAAAAAGTAAATGTTGGAAATCTTTTTAAAATAGAGCATGCACTGAAGGATTATTTTTGGAGTTGTCCATATTAGCTTCTACTCTTATATCTCTTAATTTATAACATGTTTTTAAAATTTTCAAAACTTAACTTTGAGTCTTATAAGTATTAAGAAAACAAATAGTATTGCATGTATTTAAACAATAATGCCCCTAAAGGGTGATAACAATGTTTGACATATATTTTTAAATAAACAATATAGAAAATTTAATTCAATAGTATAATTAAAATTTTGTAATTTAAATTTATGATTAGGGTAAATTATTGTTTCAGGTTGGTTAATAATTTAGCCAAAAAGAGTTGTTTAATATTGATTTGTAATAAATTTAGTGTTATTGTTTAAATTTTGGTAGGCTGATAAAACATTAAAGTAATTTGATTTCTCAAGTATATATTGAATAAGGTTAAAGAAATCATATATATACAATGCCAAAGCTAACAACTTTTATATGTTTATCAACTAAATTACATTGGTATTAAAATATATAATTATTACTACTATTTAATATTGGAGAAGAAAAGTTTATGTAACCTAATATTCTTTATGAGTTTTCTTGTCAAAAGCCCTAAATTTCGATATACGTGCATTATTATTAAATTTTTTAATTAAAGTGATACCATATTTCTTGCTCTATATATTGCATGCCTCTATAGCCTAGCTTAAGTTTTCAAGTTCTAAAAATTTAATCCAAATTCATAAAACTGATAAAGCTGCATCAAATTTGCATGGCTGATTTTTCTTTCACGTTTTTTGTTTCCTTTGTAGCAAAGAATAGCAAAACTCAGGTATGATTCAATAATATTTGACTAAATTCTCTTTTTTTTTCTTTGTTAATGCATTGTTAGTTTTTCTTTTTCTGGTTCTGTATTTGCTGAATTTTGTATTCATATATAGTGTATTCCTGATGGTTTCGAAGAATTATTAAATGATGGGAATTTAGGTGTTGAATTGTCAGTTCATGGTGATTCCAGACTTTGGTATGTTACTATGGTACATGAAGAAGAGGATGATGAGTGGAAAGTTATCTTGGGAAATAGCTGGTCCAAATTTGTAAAAGATAATTATTTGAAGGTTGGTGATGTTATGAATTTTAGCTATTCAGGGCACATTTCATTTCTTATTCAGATTTTCAGGGCATCAGCAAGTAAGAAAGTGCAAGGATCAGAATACAGCAAGGGTTCTCCTAGTTATGTTAAGAGGCGTGGGCGCAAAGCTGCAATCAAAGGGAATTCAGAAAAAATGATTGAATTAAATGAATGGATTGATGAAATTGTTTTTGGTTTTCGTTTACCAAATTTTAGGTTTTGTTTCAAAAAAGTCTTTCTTAATCAAGCAAAGATTGTAAGTCTCATCAAATTTAAACATATTTTCTATTTTTTTCTGTTTTTGATAGTATTTTTTTATAAAATCTGTTTTTGTACTGGTGGTGTTGTTTGCAGAATGTCCCTTTGGATTTTTCTAAGAAGTTCTTAGGTGGATTTGGTGAGACAACTATTGTTATTCTTCAAAACTTTGATGAGCTATTTGAGGTAGAGCTGAATATTTCGAGGAAAGGCAATACAATTACTCAGTGCTCGTTGAAGAATGGTGTAAGGAAATTCATTGACAGGTACAATGTTCAGGAAGATGAAGGTGCATTCATTAAGTATACAAAGGGTGATCCTAGTATATTTGATGTTGATCTAGTGTTGAATTAATGGTATGTAGGACTGTTCAAAGTTTTTTTTTTTTTTGTAAAGTTGATGATGTAAGGATGCAAGTGCTTGAATCAAGTATTTTGTTTTAAAATCTCTGATCTGCTTTTGCTAGAAAGACTTATTATGAATTAAGTAATAGGTCTAAGTTTATTTTGTGAAATATGTACTATTAAACAATGCAAGGATATCTAGATTACTATCTTACTAAGAATGCTAAGTTTTGAACTTATTAAGTTATTGTAATGTGCCTTTTGTAAGAATATCATGTTTTGATGTATGTTGTTAGTTTTTAACCTTAGCCCAACCAGAAACAAATAATTTAAAAAATTATACATGCATAGACAAGCATTTAAATTACTATATTTCTGTTATGATGAGAGAATATATTGTAGATAAGTGGCCATGAAAGTCGAATCACAAAGAAGTACATCCTTCATTTTACAAAAATCAATAACAAATAAACACAACTACAAAGATTTTAAGCAATAAAAATAAAATTTTGTGGCCTACGTAAATATACACAAAAACACTGACATATTTAAACTGCCTAGTAGTAAGAATAGGTAAAATGAATACATGTAACTGAAACCAATAATTGAGGGTGTTATTTCAATATCTAGAAATCAACTTACTGATATTAGATAGCAAGCAAAAGGGTAACAAACAATGTTATATTCTAAGTGATAGGAGATACTTAATGTAAACCAAGTGTTCTAATTTGATGCCCTGGATTGATAGGTCTAGTAGTGATTCACAAAATTTACACTTGTTCAGTTATCATAGCACTTCTAAATTGTTTAATGCTTGAGATGGAGTAATTATGCCGTTCATTGTTCTAAATTTTGTGAATTTAACAATATGTTCAAATTCATCTTTTTTATCCTGAAAAGTTATCCAGTGTTGTCATCAGTATCAAAGTAAAATTCACTCTGCAATAGCTTTGTTAGTTTATATTAGACATGCTTAAAATTTTCTGTCTAAGCAAAAGATATTAGAATGTTACCTTTCAGCACAAATGCATTTTTTGTCTGAACAATGAGGAAAGAAAAAGGATACGACAGCAGCAACACTACAACTTCTGCTACAATTGCTGCAGTCAATGTAAGCAACTACATTAGCCAGTTGTAACCATGGATTTGTAACTAAAAGGAAGTACAGCTCTTCTTTGATAATGTTGTTAACCTGAAATCAGCTGTTGTGAGTAGAGAAGAAAGCTAAAGAATTAATAGGCATAGGTACATTACTAATAAGAACTTATTGATTGCATTACTCGGTTACTCAGACTGTTCTCACCAACATTTAATTTCAACTACATGCAGCTTCATGCATGTGGTCTGCCTCCATTTTAAATTTTCAATAACTTGAAATTTTATCTACATTAATTTAACCAGTGCTGCAGCCACAAAGTCTTGTATTATAATTTTGTTAACTGGAACTCCACTCATCAGAACTACGAATTTGCTTTGCCACTTAAATTATATTTCTCATTGTCCTTTTCAATTTTAGTCAGTACAGAACTCTCAAATCAATGAATACTCAAACTTTTTATAAGGCATGCATAGTTTTTCTATTTTTCTTATAAGAGTTCTAAGTTCCACCGAGAAGTTGGTAGTTCTTTCCACTGAGAAGTTGCTGATACTTCTTAGTATGTAGACGACTATGTTTTCAGAAAAAAAAGGGCAGAATGGTCCTGCTCATAAAGCATTGATCGAGATTGCAATGACTAACCAAATAACATCAGTTTAATTAGGTAAAATTATTATTCCTAACCTACATGTATTTGCAATTAGGATTTAAAACAATGCCTCTTTTACTTGATTTCTCAATTATATGAATTCAGCAAGTGTATGTAATGTAATTTCTGTACTATTAAAAATAGTACGTAATGTTCTACTATGTATATTAAGTTATCTATACTCTGCATACCGTAATGTAGATAAGTGTAAATGAAGCCTGCTCATTAATTCAACCATAAGTGTTCAATAATGCTTCCTATTTACTTATGAAGTTTCATACAATATAATTATATCTCAATCCAAACTTGCAGAATTGTTTTCAAAACCCGACAATTCTATATAAAAATCAAACTTTAATCATTTTATTCACAAAACATAATTCATTTAATTCGCTTAGAAATAACTACAGTTACCTATTACAAAGGTAAGTAAATCATCAACACATTGCTATTCATATCAAAGCACAAAAACATATTGATTTTCACCTACTTATAATATACTAAAAACTTAACAGGTTCCTAATCTAATTCACTAAAAAAAATCATATATTAACTAACAAATTTCATTGTAATTGCAAACAGTGTGCCGAGAAGCATCTGATTTTGTGAAAGCCTTCGGATTGCAGTTATCTTTTTAGCCCGTAATCCCATTCCCATCGTCGCCGCCATAAGGAAAATACTCACCACGATCATCTCCATCAGCATCTGGAACTTTATTAGTTACTCAGACCGTTTTCACCAACACTCTCAACATTACTCTTTGGTTATCTCTAAGAGGATTTTGCAGTGTTCTTTTTTTTCAGAAACTTCTTAATCAAATCCCCATGAAGATTGAGACTTTCCTTCTCCTTTTATACAATCCTAGTTACTCAAACCGTCTTCACCGACATTCTCAGCATTACTCTTCGGTTGTCTCCAAAAGGATCTTGCATTGTTCTCTTTTTTCAGAAAGTCCCACCTCCCATTCTTTTCTTCATTGACATTCTCAGCATTACTCTTTGGTTGTCTCCAAGAGGATTTTGCATTGATCTCTTTTTTCTAAAAATCACAACCCTCATTCTTTTCATCAACTTTATTATCACCTTGTTCCTCCGAAGCATCTTCTACCACTAGTAGAAAAATAGCATTTGGCAGCGGTTCAAACCCGGTCTAAGGCACCGATTTGAACCGCTTTCTATGTGGGGGGTGCCAATTACCCCCCTTTTTAGCACCGGTTCAAAACCGGTGCCCTAAACATGTTTTAGCACCGGCTAAACATGTTCAAAACCGGTGCCTAAAATAGTCTCCCGCGTTTTTTTTTTTTGTGGTAGCTAGTTTTGGCACCGGTTAACCGGTGCCTTTTTACTCAACATATTTTTTTTTTCCATTTTTCGTGCAATAATATTTAAAAAAAACCTGTTTCCAGAAATAATAATAACCTGTAATTCCAGCAATAATATTAAATAAAATAATTAATATTATTATTATTATATTACTAATAATAATAATATTATTAAATATTTTAATAAGATAAAAAAATATTAAAAACAAGAATTCATATATATATATAGATATAAATATTCCCAAACGCAATACAATAAAAAAAAGTGTTATATATATATACAAATGATAGTAAGTAAATATGTAATGAATAATAATATAGTTCAAAATTTAACATAAATTTACAATTAAAATGCCTTTTACATGTTGAAGGTGATAAAAGACGCCAACATGTCACGAACTTCATTAAGCTCCTTGATTGTCAACGGACCATCCTTTTAGACCTTGCAAAACATGAAATACAAAAAAATTATATTAGAATTAATTAATTAGGAAAAACAATATGTATTTTATCAAATATGGCCTATATGACTTCTATGTAGCCCATTTCCTACATTTCTTATCAAATGAACTATTTCTTTCTCATAACATGTCAATGACACCTAGTTTTATGTGTCTAAGCCCTAAAATTGAATCAAAAGAGCATTTTACTTTACTTTGCCCATTTCCTACATTTCTTATTAAATGAACTTTATTTATCTCATAACATGTCAATATTATCTAGTTGTAGGTGTATAAGGAAAGAAATCACATCAAAAGAGCATATTAACACAAAATGGCCCAAAGATGGCCCATATGACTTCTATTAAGCCCATTTTCTTCCTTTCTTGTCAAATCACCTTTTTAATTCTCATAACATGTCAATGTTGGGTAATGTTGGGTGTCTAAGGCTAATAATCACATCAATATAGCATTTCATTTAGTTTAACAACGCATTTTACTCAAAATGGCCCAAATATGGCTTATATGACTTCTATGTAGCCCATTTCCTACATTACTTATCAAATGAACTATTTCTTTCTCATAACATGTCAATGACACTTAGTTTTATGTTTCTAAGCCCTAAAATTGAATCAAAAGAGAATTTTTTAAGGTTTAAGACGATTTTTACTCAAAATGGCTCGAATATGGCCTAAATGACTTTAATTTTCCCATTTCCTACATTTCTTATTAAATGAACTTTATTTATCTCATAACACGTCAATATTATCTAGTTATAGGTGTATAATCAAACAAATTACATTAAAAGAGCATATTAGCACAAAATGGCCCAAATATGGCCCATATGACTTCTATTCAGCCCATTTTCTACCTTTCTTGTCAAATCACCTTTTTAATTCTTATAACATGTCAATGTTGGGTAATATTAGGTGTCTAAGGCTAGAAATCATATCAATATAACATTTCATTAAGTTTTAGGACTTACCTCATCAAGCTGTTGAGTGTCCGTACAATGAGTCACAATGTCAAGCATGAATCTCATCACATACAAAGCACTATCAAGTCCATTTTCTTGTTGTGCGCACTAGCATATGACAAACAAATCACATCAGTGAAACATGAAAAGGAAATTAGCAAATATTTATAAACATAGATTTTGAAGATAATCACAATATCATGCAAATTACCAACGGTTACTTCCATGTTGGACCCTTTGGAGCACGACAATGTAGCTTCTTCATAACACTGTAGTAAATAAAGTACATTCAAATTTGATTATTCGTATGACTACTAAATTAGTTATTATTAGCAATAATCATCACTAGGTAGCTATATATATTTACTTTTACAATATAGACTTCACGAGCCACTTCTCCGATGATCGAGCTGAATCAAGGTGATAAATTATGTTATTGGAATTACAAATCACCATGAGGATCCAATACTCCCTACATAACTTCACAATAGACAAGCAAATTAATATTTAGGAGTCAACATATAATGAGGCCAAATCGATTGAATTTGACATGGTTAGACTTACTCTTTATAACATGGGGCGAATATAAACTTGTCTCTCGCACGCGCTGATTCCCTGATACTTTGCTCAACATAGTACAACACGTCATGGGGGTTGCCTATGATTCTAGTAGTGGATAACTGCTCGGGGCATAACCATCCAACTTTACAAGGAGAATCGGTTTCGATTAAGTGCTCCTATAGTGCTCTGCGTGCATGAACATTGAATAATTAATCACATGTAGGATAATCACCATACATTTGAATAACTTGAAAAAAGTGTAGATTATGTGGGAATTGAAGTACCTCATGAATGTTTGAATGAGAAAAATGTTAAGCTTTGCACCACGTAGAAATTCCTTCACATCTTCTTTGCTGATCCATGCAACTGTATCCTCATCATAGTGGAACATTGCCTTAAGAAGTGCAACTTCCATGGGATCGACCAAATGAAAAGCACGGTTGTGAAGAAAGGTCATGTCAGAAAAGAGCAATTGAAGAACAATGTCTTCAAATAGTGGAGTAGGTTGCATGGGTGAACCTTTCGAAGAGTGCAACTTCGACGCTTGTTCACTCTTGGACCTTTGTTCACTTAGCTTCTTCTTAGGTTGATCAATTCTTTTAGGATTCTCCACCATCTTTCTCTTTGAAGATTTGCTTCCATGCGAAATCTGAAATAGTTTGAGAAAGAATAAGTTTATAAGTTGAGAAATGAAGAAAATAGGCATATTATAAGTTATTTCGGCTCAAAATGGCTTTATTTTGATGAAATAAGCCCAAAAACTTAGAACTTTGCTTCTTTTATGTAATTTAAACTCACAATAACTTATAAATATGTAATTATAATATAGTTTGAGAATGAATAAGTTTATAAGTTGAGAAATGAAGAAAATAGGCAAGTGAGAAGCCATTTTGGCTCAAAATGGCTTTATTTTGATGAATTAGACCCAAAACCTTAGAACTTAGTTTCTTTTATGTAATTTCAACTGAAAATCACTATAAATATGTAATTATGAGATGGTTTGATAATGAATAAGTTTATAAGTTGAGAAATGAAGAAAATAGGCAAGTGAGTAGCCATTTCGGCTCAAAATGGCTTTATTTTGATGAAATGGGCCCAAAACTTAGAACTTTGCCTCTTTTATGCAATTTCAACTCACAATCACTTATACATATGTAATTATGAGATTTTTTGTTAATGAATAAGTTTATAAGTTGAGAAATGAAGAAAAAAGGCAAGTGAGAAGCCATTTCGGCTCAAAATGGCTTTATTTTGATGAAATGGGCACAAAAACTTAGAACATTGCTTCTTTTATGTAATTTCAACTCACAATAACTTATAAATATTTAATTATGAGATGGTTTGAGAATGAATAAGTTTATAAGTTGAGAAATGAAGAAAATAGGCAAGTGAGAAGCCATTTCGGCTCAAAATGGCTTTATTTTGATGAAATGGGTCCAAAAACTTAGAACTTTGCTTCTTTTAGGTAATTTCAACTCACAATCACTTATAAATATGTAATTATTATATTCTTGAGAATTAATAAGTTTATAAGTTGAGAAATGAAGAAAATAAGCAAGTGAGTAGCCATTTCGGCTCAAAATGGCTTTATTTTGATGAAATGGACCCAAAAACTTAGAACTTTGCTTCTTTTATTTAATTTCAACTCACAATCACTTATAAATATGTAATTATGAGATGATTTGAGAATGAATAAGTTTATAAGTTCAGAAATGAAGAAAATAGGCAAGTGAGTAGCAATTTCGGCTCAAAATGGCATTATTTTGATGAAATGGGCCCAAAAACTTAGAACTTTGCTTCTTTTATGTAATTTCAACTCACAAACTTATAATTATGTAATTATGATATTTTTTGAGAAAGAATAAGTTCATAAGTTGAGAAATGAAGAAAATAGGCAAGTGAGAAGCCGTTTTGGAAAGAAATTGCTTTTTTTTTTATGAAATGGACCCAAAATGTCACCTAATTAGCTTCTTTTATGTCATTTCAAGTGACATTCACTAATAATTATGTAATTATGATATGGTTTGAAAAATAACAAGTTCATAAGTTGAAAAATGAAGAAAATAGGCATGCGAAAAGCCATTATGCCGAGTGAGTTGAGAAAAAAAATGGCTCAAATTTTTTTTAAAAAAAGATACGCAACTTCCGCCAAACCGGAACACCCAAGGGAGCCTCCCCCGCTGCCGGAACAGCGAAGGCAGCCCGCGCCGAGGCCACAGCAGCCCTGGCAGTTGCCTGCCAAGGCTGCCGCAGCCTCGGCAGGCAGGTGCCATGGATCATCAAACGAATCATATTCTTCCTCATCCTCAACATCTCCAATGCCTAGGATTCTTCTTTTGCCAGCTAGCACTATAGACCATTTTGAATCCCCTGGGTTAGTTACGCAGAACACTTGCTTAGCTTGAGATGCAAAGATAAATGGTTCCGCACTATCATTCAAGTGGCCAAGATCTATAAGAGTAAAGTCCTCATATTCGACGTTACACCTGATATTATCAACCCACTTACACTTGAAAAGAGAAACCGTGAAGTCACAATAATCAAGCTCCCATATTTCTTGAATTCGACCATAGTATGACAACTCTGCATCGACAGGTGATTTATTCTTAGAACTTGCAAACTCCCTTGATGATGCCACAAGCGTTACACCACTGTTTTGGGTAGAGGAAGATTTCAAATCACGACCCTCGGTCCAAAAAGTGTACACATTGATGTCATATCCCTCAAATGAACGAACATCATCCCTAGGACCGTACGCAAGCCACCGTATTGTATCGGTCACATTAGTATCATCCAATCCACTCATTAATCGATCACGAAACCAATTAACAAACCTCTTATTATGCAGCTGCATAAGTGCCTTTTCACCTTTCGATGGAAATTCGTCACGCAAACTTGCCATGTGTTCGTCTAAATATGGATGCACATCTGAAACATGGTGCAACACATAAAGGTGTGCTTGTAAGAACTGATCTCGGTATGGTGTTTCAACCCAATTGTGCCATGACCATCAAGTCTACCTTCATGTCGAGAAGTAGGAAGACCAATAGGTTGAGCAAGGGCTATGTAGTCCACCACAAAGTTACCTATCTCCTCACCCACGGTCCCTTGCATCATACTTCCTTCAAGGTGAGCTCGGTTCCGTACTTTATCTTGTAATGTACCCATGTGTCTTTCAAAAGGGTAGCACCACCTCATGAACACTGGACTGCACAACTTAATCTCACGCACCAAATGAAGAACCAAATGAACCATGATGTCAAAAAATGAGGGTGGGAAATACATCTAAAATTTGCACAAAGCCACAACCACATCTACTTGCAAAGCATCTAGTGTACAAGGATCAAGAACTTTGCTAAAAATTGTATTCAAAAATGAAAAAAGGCTTGTAATCGCTTCCCTCACGTGTTTCGATAGAATACCACGGATTGCAATCGGTAGGGATACTTGCATCATAATGTGACAATCATGGGATTTCATACTTGTCAGCTTCAATTCTCCATTTAAGGTTACAAATCTTTTCATGTTAGATGAGTACCCTGATGGAACCTTAATGTCGTATAGATATGAACAAAACATACGTTTCTATACCCTTGACAATGTATAGCAAGCCGGGGGTAAATAATTCTTTTCATCCTTCCCTTTACCCTCAACTTTCTTCTTTGACACATCTTTTGCCTTTCCCTTTCCCTTGCTCTTCTCCTTCCCTTTTTTCAAAACATTTTCATCTTCTTTTCTCGGTTCCTTCCCCTTTCTAACCTTTTCTTGAGGCCACAATTCTGGACGAATCCCCATCTCTTTCAAATCTAACCGTGTACCCTTTCCGTCCTTTGTTTTGCCTTGGATATTCATAAACGTTCCCAAAAGAGCATCACACACATTCTTCTCTATATGCATCACATCAAGACAATGCCTAACGTCATGTTCTCTCCAGTGCGGAAGCTTCCAAAAGATTGATTCTTTCATAAACAGAGCAGTTGAGACCACAATTTTTTCTGATTTTCCAAACACCGTTCGTATCCCTTTCACCCGAGCACAAATCTCAGCACCAGTCAATGGTCTAGGCGCAGTATCCTTTTCCACTGTTCCATCGAAAGCCTTTTTCTTCCTACGGTACGGGTGATCACGCCTAAGGAACCTTCGAGTCCGTAGGTAGACATCTTTGTGAGAATGAGTAAGGTATACGCTTGATGTGTCATCAATATATATGGGACATGCTTTTTTCCCTTTGACCTTGTACCCACACAAGTTGCCATATGTAGGGAAGTCATTCATGGTCCACATAAGGGTTGCACGCAATGTGAACATCTCGTTCTAATGAGCATCGAAAACAGAAACCCCTTCGTCCCACATCTTTCTCAAGTCGTCAATAAGTGGCACAAGGTAAACATCTATGTTGTTTCCAGGTTGCCTAGGCCCCGTTATTAGCAATGAAAGCATTATATACTTACGTTTCATGCACAGCCAAGGAGGCAAATTATGAATCACGAAAAGTACCGGCTATGTGTTGTGTTGGGTACTAAGAGTGCCAAATGGATTCATCCCGTCCGTGCACAACCTAAGCCTTAAATTTCTGACTTCATCACCAAATTTCTCAAACTTCAAATCAATGTTCTTCCACTGTGGAGAGTTAGCTGGATGCTTCAGCATTCTGTTTTTCTTTCTTCCCTCTGCATGGCACCTCAAGTTTTTAGCGTCTTTTGGTATTGAGAACATACGCTTAAACCTTGGAATAATGGGAAGATACTACAACACCTTAGCAGGAGGTCCCTCCGTAAGGATTGCAACTCATGCGCTTGTAGCGCGACCGCTTGCATCGTGGACACTCCTGCAATTGTTCATACTCATTTCGATCCAGAATACAGTCATTAGGACATGCATGTATGTTCTTATACTCCAAACCAAAGGGACACATGAGCTTCTTTGCGTAATAGTAAGACTTAGGAATTTCATTCCCATCAGGCAACATATCACTTAATGCGGTCAACAAAGAAGTAAAACTAATGTCCGTCCACCCATGCTTCGAATTAATGTTGAAAAGTGTTAGCACAACCGATAGTTTGGAGTATTTTTTGCACCCAAGATACAAAGGCTTTTCGAAAGCCTCCGATAATAACTCAAACACTCCACCTTCAACACCATGCAACATCTCATCCACTTGTTCATCCTCGACCTCATCCTCCTGATCACCATCAGCTTCATCCTCACCATTATCAACAATATAGTCATCATTCTTGTATTCCTTGTCCACATGAATCTCATTGCTTCTAACACGCACATCATTTCGATCAAGATCCCCACTGTACTCTCCACTTTCTCCGTGCCAAATCCACACATGGTATAAATGCCTAAACCCACGATATAATACATGATCTCTAATGATTTCAACACTATCAACCACATTCACATTATTACAATCAACACAAGGACAATAAAGGCCTTTGCCACCCAGTTTGCGTTGATAAGCTAAAGCCCTCTCGCAAAACTCTTGAACCCCATTCCAAAATTCCAATGTATCGCGTCTACTATACATCCAACCACGATCCTTCTCCATATAGTAAATTGTCTCTAAACATATATAGCAACATATAATGAATAATGTGTAATTGCTACATATTTTATGTAAATCAAATTCAAGTACAAAACGTGAATATGCCATTCATATAGTGAAAAAATGCATGTTTCCAAATGGTCCTTATCACTCCAACCTAACCCATCCTTGAATGTCTACTCTCACTAGTGAATGTATGTCAACTTTCAAATTTTAAGGAAAATCCGGCAGCATTTCCCCCTAGTTCTCCAAGTACACGATGTAGATAATTAATTACCCATATATGTACCCAGAGAACATAGTGAGGAAATGGTAAGCCAAGATGTTCCTTAAAATCGAAAAGAAAACATACATTCACCACCTAAATGAGAGTACACATTCAAGAACAGTCCCAACCGGGGACTATTCAAGACTTTCTCCTAATAAGAAAGCCTTGAACGAGTATCTAGGCATATGATGATGCAAGTATTCTATATATTGTTGTATTTATTTGCAATTAAACAATACACAAGTTGCAATTTCATGAATAAACTTTTATTAAATGGATAAATAGAAAGAAATATAGCTAAGTAAAGTTTATAAGTCATACCTATATAGCAACTACCCACTTGAGCTTAATATGTTGTCCTCAAGCTAAACTCGTGCTTCAATTCACAAATCTATTAAAAAAAAACAATAACCAAAAATTAGGTTAAATATTAGGTATGTACTATTTCTTTCTCATAACATGTCAATTCACTAATTTATTTATAAGCTAAAACACATCATTCATCAAACTAACAATTGCTAAACAATGTATTCACTACTTTAATTCATCTAATTTATTCAAAATTGCTAAACTAACAAGGTTACTAATCTCTAATTTTTTCAAAATTACCCATCAAAACAACTTAAAAGTAACCATTCACCCATTCCAAAATTCATCTACTTTAGTAACAAGCAAGGTTACTAATCTCAAATTTATTCAAATATACCCATCAAAACAACTTAATATTAACCATTTAAACATTCCAAAATTCAACTAATTTAATAACAAAGTTCACTAATATCTAACTTATTCAAAATAATCCATCAAAACAACTTCAAATTAACCATTAAAAGTAACATACCAAATTTCACCTATTTAAGCACCAAGGTTAATATATATTCTATAATTATTTCAAAATTATCCACCAAAACACATTAACTTAACCATTAAAACATAATAAAATCCAACTAATTGAGTAACAAGGTTACTAATCTCTAATATTTTCACAATTTCCCAATTATATTCAAACCTAAAATTGAGAAAAATTATATTCAAACCTAAATTTTAATTTGCTAACAATGGTTCAAAATGCAAAACAAATTAATATATATAAGTATATAATTGGAAAATAATGTAAAAAAACAAAAAAATTAAAAGGAAAACCTTGAATGGAAGGAGAGAAGGAGGGCAGCTAATGGAGGAGGAGCCTCAGGGCAGGGCAGGGCAGGGCAGGGCTCCGTGGTGGAGGAGCCTCAGGGCGGTGGCGCGGCTCGGTGGTGGAGGATCCTCAAGGCGGTGGCGCGGCTCGGTGGTGGAGAAACCTCAGAGCGGTAAATGCTGGTGGCTGTTGTTATCGAACAATGTTGGTGGAGGAACCTCAGGGAAACAGCTTTGAAAGAGAAAGAAAGGGAAAACAGAAGGGCAGGGGAGAATTAAAGGTGGTTTTCGACACCTCTGGTGGCCGGTGAAGGTGGCGGCTGTGGTGGAGGGAAAAGGGGGAGGGTGTTCAATTCGCTCAGCTCTAATGAAACAGTGAGATGATAGAAGGTAGGGAATGAAAGAGAAAGAGAGGAAGGAGAAGAAATAAGGCCGCGTTTTTTTTTTTGAATTTGGCATCGGTTCAATTGGCACCGGTTCAGGCCAAACCGGTGCCATTTCTCTTGTTCTAAAATCCCGCCCATTTCTAGACCGATTTTGGCCACTGGTTTAGCCTAACCGGTAACATTTGGGGGCTGCCTATTGCTATTTTTCTACTAGTGTACACCCTCATCAACAACATCTTCTCCAACCTCATCATCAGCCCTCCTTTATCTCCTCGTTAGCATCACCATTTCCCTCTTCTACATCACCGCCATCACCACCATCTTCATCCAATTCCTCCATATCATCATTTTCACCTACAGTATTGTGTTCCACAAGACTTCCTCCATCACCACCGTCATCCCTACGTTCTTCAAAGTCTTGAGAAACACCAATACTCCTACCCACAACACTTCCCCTGTCATCTTCAACAATTTTTTCTACAGGTTGCAGATTTCTAACAAGCGGCCCAATACTGCCATCGGCTATCCAAGCCCTTCTTATATCTTTCCCTAATTGCCAAAGTAACTCAGCGACGCATTGCTCACGATGTCGATGCAACTGCGATAATAAATCTGTCGCTTCTTGTAACTTTGCTGTATAAGCAGCCTTGATTCTGGCTAATTCTTCTACATTAGCCTTCTCCTGCAGTCGCATGTCTTCCATCTCAGCACAAATAACATCAAGCCGGGTTACCAGCTCTCGCAAATCACTCATACCAGTCTTTTTTCTTATATAAACAAAGAATCTTTGAAAATCTGTAAACCAATTGAGCAACAAAATCGTGTAAAAGAAAATTGAAGAGAAATGGAAAATGTAATTTTAAATCATAAAATTTAAGTAAAAATCTGGTGTCTTAAATAATTTTTTTTTGTAGAGAAACAGAAATTAAAAGAAAGCTTTGAATGGAGACTTAAAGTCTTTGAGGACAGAAGAGATATAAATTAAAGGGAAACAGAAGAGAGAGAAAGTACAGAGGAAAAAGAAATAAAAGGCTACATTTTGCCGCCATATTCATTGACTTTGCATGGAAAACAACAACAAAACATATTAAAATACAATTAAACAAATAACATTACTATTTACACATGCATTGATAGTCAACAAAATATTTTTAAAAACTTATCCCTAATATAATTTCATATATTATGTATCTTAAATTAAATGTTAAAATAACATTAAAAAAAAATGTCAAGCCAAATTCACAACACATCTCAGCAATTTTAAAATAGGCCATCAAAAATTAAGAAAATCCTAACTAAAACTTTAGCTTCCAAGAAATGCATAAACTTTAGCAAGACCAAAAGTATACAAATTAAGCTACTCACATATCACTTCAAAATGAACATAACTAATGTGATGGGCATTACTCACACTATAATGCATGTTTCTGGATCAAATTTACTAATAAAAGAGAGTGATATTTCTTTTAAAGCTGTGATAATACTTTTAAATTATTTACACAAGCTAATCTCATGTTTGAGGATGATTGCCCAGTTGAGTAAAAAGAAGCTAAAAGAAGAGAACGGGTCACAATGCTACAAACATATAATGCTAAGTTGGCTGACAAACATCTTTCCATAACATAAAGCATCAACTAACAACAGTCCGATCTAATAACAAATAAAACATTAGCTAAGAAGAAACGTGTTCCAATAGCTAGATGTGGTAGTAGAACCAAAGGTCAAAAGATTCAGCTACTCAATAATCACTTCAAAGTTAACATAACTAATGCAGTTGGAAATTTCTTTCATCACAGTGTATGTTTTTATCTCCTCTTTACTAATACAAAAGTAATATTCCTCTAAAAGTCTTGCTAATTTTTAAAAATTACATACACATGATAATCTCATGTATAAGGATTGTCATCCTATTAAAAGGTAAATAGGTGGAATAAAAGTAATGAACAGAGTGCTAGCTAACATTTCACCTATGATGGTGAGAAGAATCTACTAATTAAATAGCAATATAGATAGTATGGAACAATCACAAAAATCTACAATACTAAGTACTTCACACCCAACCTACAACAATAAGCCACAATAAAGCATCAGCAAGGTCAAAAAATTCAACTACTCAGTAATCACTTCAAAATGAACATAACTAATGCAAATAGAAAATTTTTTCATTAAAGTGTATGTTTCTGACTTCTCTTTACTAATACAAAAGTAATATTCCTTTAGAAGTCTTGTTAATTCTCCTAAATTATGTACACATGATAATTCCATGTATAAGAATGGTCACCTTGTTGAAAGGTAAAGAGTTGTAATAAAAGTAATGAACAGAGTGCAAGAAACAAACGACACTCAGCTGGCTAGCTAACATTTCGCCTGTAATGGTGAGAAGAATATACTAACGCTAAGAACTTAAAATTAATAGCAATAACAATCAGAAAATTCTACAATGCTAAATACTTCACACCCAACCCACAACAATAAGCCACAATAGAGCATCAAATCGTGCTTCGACCAAATCATAGAATACACGTTCAAAACACTATCATTCTAAGAACTTAAATTTTAGTAGAAATACAAATAGCATAAAACAATTAAAAGGTATATTGTGCCTAAAACATAACCAAAAAAGCATTAGCTAAGGAGAAACGTGTTCCGATGGCTAGACATGGTAGTAGAACCAAAGGTCAAAAGATTCAACTACTGAATAATCACTTCAAAGTGAACATAACTAATGTGGTTGGCAATTTCTTTCACTACAATGTATGCTATAGTATCCTCTTTACTAATATATAAGAGTAATATTCCTCTAAAAGTGTTGCAAATACTTCTAAATTGCACACACAAAATAATCTCATGCATAAGAATGGTCACCATTTTCAGAGTAAAGGAGTTGGAATAAAAGTACTAAACAGAATGCAAGTAACAAATGAAACTTAGTTGGCTAACTAACACTTCACCTATGATAGTGAGAAGAGTATTTTCATGCTAAGATCTTAAATTTAACAGAAATATAGAAAGTATGAAACAATCATAAAGATCAACAATGTTAAGTACTCCATACCCGTCCCACAACAATAAGCCACAATTTACAACAGACCAATCTAATATCAAATACTGCATCAGCTCGTGCTTCTACCAAACCATTGAATTCACGTTCAAAACAATATTATTCTAAGAACTTTAATTTAATAGCAACACAAAAAGCACGAAACAAACATAAGGTCTAACACCCCTAAAAATTCACAGCCATTTCAGAACAAAAACCTCAACTAACAATAGACCAATCTAATAATAAATTAAACATTAGCCTGTTCTTCTCTCTAATCATAAAACTCATATTCAAGACACAACCATGCTACGGACCTAAATTTAACATCAATCTAAATAACATAGAACAATCAGAGGTTCTAAATTATTTTAAACCTTCATTCTAATTGTCTAAAATTTAGATTTCATTATTCCGATAGTTACGAATCTACATGATAAAAATGCATTAGATTAAAATTAACCATATATTAGATTTATATGTATTCACATGACATTAATGCATATGATTTGAATTGGTTCTGTTTTAAGTGTAGAATATGGTTTCACATGATAAAAATGCATTTTATTCTAGTTGGCTATATTTTAAGCCAAGAGCGTGAACTAACATGATGAAAATACCTTCAAGTATACTTGGTTATATTTTAAGTTTGTCTATCACGTTAAATTACACTAATGACTCATACCTTTACTCTCGTATGCAAAGAGTTGTTGTCATATGATTTAAGGAGTAGAACTTGACTTCCCTACAACTTAATGACTGACACTTGTAGTGGAATTCCTCTTAAATTATCATCTTAACAAGGAAGTGCACTACAAGTCTCACTTATTGAGTAATGGGATACTTCTTCAAACAGTTCCTTCTGCACTTATTCCTCTCCTAATCCATTCTCCACACCCATTACTTCATTTGTTTTGATGACAGAACTTTAATTCATGACATGATTCAGCAGCATATAATCAAGCCAAAGATGATAGATTAATCAATATCAATATAAAAAATTAAAGATCGAACCTTAAATCAAAGTTCTTCGATACATTTTTAACACCAATTTGTCTTGTTATATTTTGAACATCGAATATAAGATAATGGATAACACATGCAAGTGAAGAAACCTCATATCAAAAATATCCCAAATATAGATTAACAGAACCAAATTAGAAAACCCGTGAAAACCCGGGAATCCCATCAACTAATCTCAAAAAAAAAAAATATGATTAGGATAAAAGTAGAATTCTACAATTTCAAAACAATCTCAATTAACAGCAAATAGAAAATAATTATCCCAAATTCAGAATTTAAGAACCAAGATTATAAAACCCCGGAGAATCCATCAACTCATCTCATGAAATTCTGTGTTTTGTAAGAAAATAAAACGATCCAAATTCAAAATAATCTCAATTTGCAGCAATTAGTAAACCAAGTCAAAGATACATCCAAATAATAAATTATTATCAGAAATCAACAACGGAAAACACATGCATAGTGAAAATAGCCCAATTCATAACTAACGACAATTAACGAAACCCCAACTCAGAATATTCCCAAATACAGAATTTAAAAAACAAAATTTAAAACACAGTTCTCCCATCAATTGAACTCATGAAAATATATGATTTGCTTGTAGGCAGAATACCAAAATTTGCTCATCAATATCGCGAAAATTCCAGCCACCAACAAAAATTGCATGCAAATTAAATGACTAATTGTAATGTTATTAGTTTTTCAAAGTAAAGAGCAAAAACCCAATTGAAAATTACAGAATTACATAACTAAAATAAAAAACACAAAAATCCCATCAACTAATCTCATAAACAATCTGTGAATTGAAAATTACAAATTCGAAAAAAAAACTTAATTTAAAACAAAACCGAATTAACAAAGTTCACATTATGAAAATCGACAAAATTATGATTTGGGCGAAAGTAAAATACTCTAAATTCGACAAATTTCCAATTAACTACAAATAGAAAATACAAACAGAATACCAAATTATAGATCAATCAAACACATCAATAATTACCCGAAATTGTCATAAAAAATACAGTTAATTGCAAAGCTTGCATGCAAATCAAAGAACTCGTTGAACACTTTTACAGAAATCGAGAATAAATACTAACCGAAAACACTGCAAATTAATGCATGAAAATCAATCCGGCGTAATTCTCAGTAATCAGACAATCACGGAAACCACCGCTACCACCACCGCCACTATCCCACCATTCGAATTCGAATATACTTTTCCGATAAATAAAAACCTAATTTAAATCACACTATTTTGGAATTCGGAATTCAAAGAAAGAAATTCGTACAAAAAATATTCAAAATGACATAACAAAACTACGAACCACTTCCATGGAAAGTGAGAATTAGACTCAGATGAGAGAGATAGACAAATAGCTTTTATGAACGATGAAGCAATAAAAAAGGGAAAAGAAAATAAGGAGTATTGCATGCAAGGGCAATTTCATCCAAAAAAAAAGGAGTGCAATTTCGGCAGCTCAATACATCACTTAATTTTAATTAAAACACATAAACCACAATTATACTAATTAAAGTTAATAAATTTAAAAATAATCAACAAAAATCAACAAATCTTGATGGCAATTTTGCAATAACCAACAAAGAAGGGGTTACATTTGTAGATTCCACAACTCATTTTGTCAAAAAAGTCAAGAAAGTCAACCAAAAAGTCAAGAAAATCAACTAAATTCAACCTTTTGATGGCATTTTTGCAATTACAAACATAAAATGAGTAAGTTTTGGGCAGTTCACTATTTCTTTCACTAATTTTTGCCAAAAGTCCTAATTTTTTTCAACTTGTCACTTTTAAAGGTTGTGATACGGACGGAGTATTAGGTGAGTTTTAAGGGATCGCTTGGTTGGACTTTTTGAAATGGGTGGAGTAGAATTAAAATCCTTTTTTTTTATTGTCTATTAATTAGGCTTTGTTTAGTTATGGTACCTCATAGTCTCATACAGTCATACCAATATAATTCTAACTCAACCCAATGTATCCATCTTCTTAAAATCTAATACCCACCTCCATCTGGCTCCGTATCACCATATAATTCACATCGAACATAAAATGACTAATCAAAATAATATTAAAAAATTATTTTAAAAGTAAATTTCAAAAAATTAACACAAGATCAAATTTAAGAAAATAAGATTAAAACATATTAGATTAGAAAAAGTGAGTGATTTGCATGAATATTGTTATAATAATATAAACTAACTAAGTTAGTCCTGTGCGATGTACGGTTTTAGCAATAAAATATTTGATCATATATATTACTCCGCATAAGATATGATGTTAAATATTCTAATTAAATCCATAATTAAAATAAAATTATAAAAATGATAGCATTAGTATTTAGTGGTTAATATAGAAGGAAAGAAGGAAAAAATGAAAGAGCTACCGCGAATTACATAGTAATTTTTTTTTCTCTATAAGAATATTGTGTTGTTAGTCAGTTTAGTAAAAAAATTAAGTTTTTATGAAAATGTGTAATTAGTTTATTAGCTTTATCTTGAAAGGAAAAAAGAAAAAAAAAACTTAAAAAGGATGACGTCACTTATAGTTTTGGCAGGATTTTTTTTTAATAAAAACTGACACATAGGCAATGGTGATGTCAGCAGTTTCTACTTTAGTTAATGTTATTGATTCCTTGCATACGTTGATATATAAAATAAATTATTTTTTGGAGTATCATCCTCGTAGGTTCGAATCCAAGATTCGATTTTTCCTAATATAATTCGCTGACGACAGGGGTGGAGCTACAGGAGGCCTGGCAGAGGTCCGACCCCTGTAGCCCAATCCTGCGGCCTTTAATTATGTTGACTGGACCTTGCTGTTTTTTAGTGTATAAGTAAATAATTTCTTATAAACCGCTGACGATAGGGGCGGAACTAGAGGGGGCCTGGCAGAGGCCCGACCCCTGTAACCCAAACTCGCGACCCTTAATTCCATTGACTGGGCCTTGTACTTTTTTAGTATATATGTAAATAATTTCATATACTTGTTAAAATTTTGGTGTCTTAGTTGTAGTTGGGCTTACAATAGCTCCTCTAGGATCAAGATTCGACTCTACTTTGAGTTCAATTATTATGTTTTGTTCAATGTTCGATCCTAACATTTTTTTTACTCAGTTTTTTTTTTTTTTTTTTTTTTTTTTTTTTTTTTTTTTGCCAAAATTCTATACTAAACTTCTTCAACTCTTCCATAAGTGGATTATCTTTTCAATCTTTTACTTGTATTTAATTGGATAATTTAGTCTAATTGTTCAAATTTGTCTATAGATCATCTTTTATTTGGGATAATATGATGGGTATAACCATGAAATAAGAAGCTCTTAATTTTTAAAGTGTGTGGTTAATAATCAACAAATGAATTTACACCAGTTTAATACATAAGAAAATAAATCACCAATAATTATAACCTGTAATCTATTATTGACATCTTTTCAATATGAAAACTCATAAATTGGAATTCAAAAAAAAATTGTTAATAATAATAAGCCATATATTTATTTATTGATTTAACTGCTAGCCCCCCTAGGTTCAAAATCATGGCTACCCCCCTGGCTAACAACGATAGCAGTTCTACTTAATATAGAACTACGCGCACTAAAGGTATTAGCGGTTCTGTATATAAAATTGCTAATACCATTGTAAGTTCTATATTCAATATTTTCTTTTTTTTTTGACATCGGAAAAAGCATTATATTAATCATAAAACAAATTACACACTAAAACAGTAGGGGTACGACCATACAATCTTTTTCTATTGGGGAACCATATACTTTCAGAGGAATAGGATGCTCTTCTCTTAGAGCCACTCATCCTGCAAAATAAGAGGTTAGTAATAATGGAGGGGGTTTTTCTTCTTCTTTGACAAACAATTTTCCTTCTAACTGTTGAGCGGTAGGAAGAGGCAAATATTTTCAACTTCTGAGAGGAGCACGGTTTGGGGATCGTAGTAGATGTCAACTGGGACAGGCGTGGTGCATCTAGAAGGGGCATCGACATACTTTCACATGATGACGCATGAGTGACTATACCTATAGTCGGATCTTCTTGCATCAAAATTGGAGTTTTTTCACACCTATCATGCCCTTCTAAAGGGGGGTGACTAATCTCCATTGGTGTAGAACCTTCTTGAGTTTCAACACTATCCTTATTTGGAGGATCAAGTACTCGAATGCTGATATAATTCTTCTGGGAAGAACAATAGTAGAGTAGAGTTCGTCCTTTGGAAGCCGCCCCATACATTTTCGGGGTGAGATGCAAATAGGAATCAATTTGTTTTCGATTTGAAAACCGATAACTTGACCCTGTAAAATTTGGTTTTTTTTTTCTTCTGAAGTTGACTTCAAAACAGAAATGTTATCAATAACGTTGGGCCTTTCATCTTGATCGGAGGGGTTTACCTTACCTTCCAAATCCAAAGATTTTCCAACAACATTCTTTTTAACTTTGGTGTCATCATCATTTACACCAATACATCTACGAACACACCCATTTTCAAGACCATCTTCTTCTTTCCTTTTCCCCTTCTTTCCCAACTTTCTTTTTTCTTCTTCCTCTCCTAACTGAACAAAGTCTCTAAACCTCTCATCCTCTATTGTAACCGCAAGTGCATCATCAACAAGAGTTTGAGACCAACCCAATCTACAGGTCACCTCCTTGAGTTTTTGTTAAAACTCTTTGTTGTTGGGATCAATCTTAATTGCTTGCGACAAATCCATGAAAGCTAAATAGGGTTTGTTTAGCTCTAAAGTTGCTACTGCTCTTCTAAAGTAAGCTTTCACATTTGACTTATCATAACACAACACCGCCGAGCACAATTGACCAACCTTGTCAAAGTTCTTCTCTTTGACATAACATGCCCCCAAGTTCAGATTGAGAGACACAGCAAGGCACAAAAAACTGATTTATCATCATTATTACAAACCAGAACAAAGGACAAGATCTTGAGTGCAAAAGAGTATTTTGCAATGGCTAAAACCATATTACTCTGCTTGTACAATTGGTTACCCTCATCTTTTAATCTCCTAACAAATTTCAGAATACCAAAAGGATTCTCCAATTCCCCAACTATATTCTCTAACTTAAGAGAAGAGAAATCCTCCTCTTCAAACTGAGCAAAACACAAATCCCCCCTAAGTTCCTCAAACACATCCATAGTACTTAAAATAAGGATAGGAAAAAACAAGGAACAACTAACACTGACAGCTAGAAAGTTAATGCCATAAAGAGCAAATAAAGTGCTTCCATAAATTGAACAAAATAAGGGGATACAAGCCCACAAACCTTGAACTGAAGAAAATAACAACACCCAACACTTCCTACGGGGTTAACAAGCCAAAGAACCTTCTGTAATTGACCAAAAGAGAAGATACTTGCTGGCGAAAGGAGGTTGAAGCTTAATGGAGGTGGAGGTCGTCAGTGTAAATTCGACTTAGCTCCACTTCCTCTTCACCGCCGATGGAACCTCGAGAGACTTATAGAGGTGGGAGGCTCGACCACGAATAGGAAAGAGAATCTGAATTAGAGAAGAGTCGCCCACAAAATAAAGGAAAAATTACAAGGGTTCTCGCCGGAGAACCGGTCACGGCGCCAGAACTCCGACGAGACCCTAGGTTTCCGGCAGTGGATTTGTTTTGGGGGAGGAGAGAGAATAGAGGATTTTCTAGAAAGAGTACATAATACGTAATAATAATTAGAATTCTTGAATATTTTCTTTTAACTACGATATACAATATGGAAGTTTCCCAAGAATTTCACCATAATGAAATTAATTTAGCCAGTAATTTAACCATAATTTTAAAAGTTTTCATGCATTAACTCAAGATCAGAGTAATTTAACCATAAATTTAAAAGTTTTCATGCATTAACTCAAGATCAGATTTATAGCTACATAACACTCTTTTGAAATTACTCTTCCATAGTTAATATTATTTTATATGATTGTATCCCTAATAATAATGTGAGTTTGTTTTGTTATTTGCGCACTCATAATAATATTCATACCTTTGTTTTTGTTGGTTTTAGTAATAAAATTTTAATATTAATACCATTAGAGTAAAACAGCTAATACTATTATAGAATCTCTAATGGTATTTGATTAGGGGATTTTGCTCCTACCAATCGGAATGCGCCACGTGGGCCAATCAGGACCTGCCAAGTGTCCCCTAGTTGGAACTGTCAGGGCTTGCCACGTGGCACGCGCTTATTCGTCCACCTTGGACCTGTTATGTCACGACATGTGGCATACTCCATGCCTAATGGAGAAACCGGCCACCCAGGCCCAACTTCCGAGGGAAGCCCAATCGGCCCAAGGTTATAAATACCTCCCTTAATCCTCATTAAGGGGAGAGGACAGAAACATTACGGAACACACTAATAACCGGCTGATCTCGCTAACAAAGCAGATTACCTAAATTAAACACTCTCACCTAGAGAGACCTTATTACTTTAATTT